AAAAAGCCTCTCCTTCCCACGTGGTCTTTCTCTGAGAGGAGGGAGAGGAAGGAAGTGATCTGGTGTCCAGAAGAACTGCTGACACCACGTCAGTGAAAAGCATCGTCTTGCAGCTTCTCAACTTAGTGCTTTCCCACAGCCCTGAAGTAAAGGTTCAGGACTCTGGTCCACAAAGGTTTCTGCCAATCCCCTACATCCCTGTCCTGGCCCAGAAGACCCTCAGGGCCTCAGGGATAGCTGTGTTGTCACACGTGCACATGTGCATATGTACATGTGCATGTGTGACAACACACCTGAAGATACACAGGAGACAGAGCAGTTCCCCTCTAAGAATTTACAGAGGCACCTGACCGCCATCAGCCGGGGTGAACAGAGCCATACCTACATCCAACTTTTCTAAAGGTAACAGCGTCTCCACGGGCAGGAAGGCAGAAAAATGAAGTTTCCTTCTAGTTGGGGCAAACGAAGGCTTTGTTTTCTCACTGGAGTGTTGTAAGAATTAATTGTTTTGGAGAAATAACTCAAAATCTGAGAGCTCTGATTCCTAAGCTGGAAGACAGACCGGATCTATTCATTTGGCAAGCATTAAAAACCCACTGCTTAATTAATACACCAACGGCTCCCTTTGCAAAGAGGAAGCGCAGTGCAATCGCACGGGCTAGCACACTTGGACAGAGGCCCGCACACAATATGAAGGTGAACACACAGCGACTGCCATTTTGCATATTTCCCTGTCGCATCGGTGAGGTGATAAAAATTAAAGATGTTAAAAATCAAACCTCTAACATGTCTTGAATTGTATCAGTAACTTCCTTTTAAACAAGGTATTATGTTCATTTACTGATTGCTCCTGAAGAAAGGCCCTCTCTCCACCAGGAAACCTCTTTAACCAGAAATTTGGTTTCCCATTTGATGTGGTTTGCGCAACTTCAGGCATTTTTAGTGCTCTCTCGTCTGTTTCACGGACACCACTGAAAAGCCATGAGCTTACCATGCATTCATTGTAGAGTCTGATATTTAATGAGCACAGTGATAAAGGCTTCACATTCATTGAACCATTTAGCTCTCCCAATAGCTCTATGAAATACTATTATTACCCTAAGATAAGGAAACTGAGGCTCTGAGAATAATCTTCCCAAGGTTCTGTAAGTGGCAGGTCTAGGCTTCAAACCCAGTCTGACCTTTCTCCAAATCTACACTCCTGTCCCTGCACCAGTGTGCTTCCAGGCCATCAACAGAACCTTGGCATTCTAGCAAAGACGGGCCGTGTCAGAAGTGATTCTGTGTTCGTTCTGAATTCCAAAGCCCTTCTCTAAAGCAGGTTTATTGGAAGCATAGGCCTTTATGAAGGCCTTGAGGAAAAAGAACAGAACCAGATCAGAAAGCCTGTTTTGTACCTGGCCAAACACAGCCACCTGCTTCAGGACCAGACCCTCAGCTCAGGGCTTCCCCACCAGCCGTTCAAAATGTGCCTCTGTCAGCTTTGCCTCTTTGGTCTTGGTGTTCTCACCTTTCAAGTGGGCATAGTAACACCTGTGCCATAAGGCTGCTGTGAGGAGTTAACGTGATAAGAATCCTGATGCATCTTACAAAGAGGCTGGCACATGGTGGTCAGTTAACAGTGGTCACTGCTACTGTTTCAGATGGATTCCCAGGAGTGATTCCTAGATCCAGTTGAGGGAAGAGGAAGAGAGCAGTCTTCCCCAGTGAAAACTGCTTCTTGCTGAAGACAGGCCAGTGTGATCAGACAACACCTGGGGGATGCTGGAGGATGAGGAATCCACTCAAATATTGAGGGTGATCAGATACGGAGGATGGGGGATGTTGGCTAAACCAACTTAGCAAGATTCTTCTAAAATTGGACAATGCAGAAAGAAACACAGAAGCTCACAAGTTGAGGTATACTCGATGACCTTTGCGTGAAAGGAGACAAATGTTTGTCACGTTATCTATTACATCTTTTTAGAATTTCTGGTGCATGGTGATGTTAAAAAGCAAACAGACTTTTTGGTTTTATTATTATAAAATTGGTTGCATTATTGCTTTACAATTCTCTACGATGCACCCCATATTGCCTACACCTGTGGTAGGCTTCTCCCACTCCCTTCCTCCCCTTCCACGCCCCTTCCCCACCCAATGCCACAGCCTAGATCTCTTCCAAACTCCCTAGTAGAGATGGAATAGAGAGGCAGTGGTGAACTCTGCCACCTTCATACCCCTGGTGATCACAACACTACAGAAGAAGGGAAAGCGGCTCCTTGACAAACAACAGGGGCCTGGCCGCAGAGGGCCTCCCTGAAACGCTTTCCAGGGGAAAGGAGATGCACATGCAAAGCTCATAACTGGGGAAGAACATGCTGTTTAGGAAGGAGAGTGGAAGGGAGCGCGGCTGAGATGAGGCTGGGGAAGGAGACAGGGGTCGACTTTCCAGGGCCATGCAGGCCTTGTGAAGAGGTTTTGGTTCTCTTTTGTTCACCAAGAAGCCACGGACATGATCAGGGCAAAGAACAGCCTGGAAGGATCGAGGCAGGGTGTGGGAGACCAGTTAGGAAGCTTCTGCAGCAGCCAAACCTGGACAAGGGGAACAGAAGTCAAAATGGATAAGTAGATGGATTCAGACCCACATCCTTAGGAAGAGGAATCAGTAGGACTTGGTGATAGATTAGGTGTGATGGGTGGTGGTGGAATGCC